CGCCGAGGTTAAAGCCCAACGCCCGGTGTTTTAACTATTCGATCTTCACAGATCAGGCAAGGACTTGAAATCATCTCACGTGCAACAGTCTTTGCATAACACCCCATCTTATCCATGCCACAAAAATGGTAAATTTGGTAGTTACCAATAAATAAGTTGGGGGTCAAAGGGACTAAAGTCTTAGACTGCTCTTTATCATAAGATATCCTCAGACAAACCTCCCCATTCTTCATTCTGGCTCTATAAAATTAAGGAGCAGAGAAAAACTGGTAAGTGCCTGACTTTACAAAGAAAATGCACTCTGTATTTCCTTGGTCATTCGATCTATGTTTATAAATCAACTGTACCACTCCCCCAAGTCCTCCCCCTCAGAAAACTAGCTTAAAATAGGCACATAATTGGTGGTGTTGGGGAAGTGTTCCAAGTATTGCAAAGAATGTCAATTTCGTAATCTCAGCATGGTGCACCTTAGTAATTTAGCAATCAAGTTAAGTACCAGTGGCATGTTAAGAAAACCTGTGCTAAATCCCAACAAACATTAAAAATTGGATAATGGACCAATTTTTCTGGGCTTTATCCCCAAATTTAATTATGTATTCACAGAACCAAATACCAAAAATACAGAATTCAGAATTCACTCTAGAAATGTCAAAACTGAACCACTGTTTACCAAGTAGCTAAGTAAAATTTAAAAAGGTATCTTTATTATTTAATCACTATGTCCGAGGTTTTAGCAATTATTATTCAAATACACACCTATGTTCTCATTACTCACTATAATATGCTAATGGAAGATCTACTTTCTCCCGACTGTGCCGTTTGCCTGTAACATGAAGGACTGAAATTTTAAAGAAATTTTTCTGAAGAAAATAAACATTCTTAAGGATAGAAATGTGTATGTCACAAATTTTAAAAGGGCTAAAATCAAAATAATTTTGTGATTTCCATGCATTAAGCCAACAGGTATTTTCATTATAAATTCAAAGTCATCCATGGTGTTTAGAAATAATCAATTCAAGTAAAAGAGCTGATACCAAATAGGAAAATCACAACACAAAGAAAACTAGATTAAAATAAATTAATTAGGAATTCTACAAATTTAAGGCCACATTTAGCTAAGTGCCTTTGCAGCTATATTTACAATTTTGGAAGCAAAATCACATTCATGACATAGGCTAAGTGAATGCTATATCCCAAATTATAATACCAAAAAAGCTACTATAAATCCAGTTTCGATAAATCCAACAAGAAATGACTTCAAAAATGTATTATTTGTATCTATATATCCAATTTGAAAATACCGACTATTGATAGTTTAGACAGTGAACATTTTCAGTGTAAGAGGTAAAAAATGGCATCTGTCTTAGGAAGTCTACTCTGTTCCATAACAGAAAAACCTCCAGAATGATGAATCTCTTAATTACTGGAAAACACGGAAGCTGGTACCAGAAACAGGTTTAAAATACACATTTCAAGACAATACACAAATAGGGCGGGGGGAGACACGGATACTGCTCAGTGGTCAAGATTTCACATAGCTCTGAAGGCCAGCAGAGCATGTTTGGAATGCTGGGACCAGTCCCCGGAAGCTCACTGCGTGAGCCTCTGCTTGTTCGTTTGTTAAAAGGTGCTCGGGACCCTGCTCAGGACACCCCGAGGATTAGCACAGGGTGCTTCCCATCTAAGTGCTCAATAAGTGCCAGCTGGCACCCTGTTCTCTTCTGTTGTCCGGGTGTCCAGACCTGTTCTCGTTACTGACTATATAGAATATGCTAAGAGAAAACCTACTTTGTCAACTGTCTGTTCTGTTGGCCTATAAAATGAAGGCCTGCCTAAACAGACCACAAGAAGTTTATGTAACTTGGGTAGAAGGGAAACTTGAAAGAAATTTAGCAGTTTTTTCTCATCTTATTCCACCACCTGTTTTATGAACACATTTAAATACTCTCCCAAAGATGCAAACATGTATCATGTATCAACATATAAATGAATCTACTTTAGGAAACAAGCAGCTTGTCATCCCTGCGTGTGTGACAGTATGCTGGCAAATAACCTGAATGAGTAACAGGTTAACCTGAACGGAATCACCTGAAGCCTTACTGCCCCAAAGAGATTCAGCTTGGCGTCATAAAGGCCTTAGTCTGCCATGTACGATAACCCCCTCTGAATTCAGAACGGACCAGTGGTGTTCTGCCTCAAGACCTGAATGGCTAAATTAAGAGAAATGGTTCACTCAGGCCACTGAAGAGAAGATGTCTTAATGTACTATCACTTTGGTTCATGTACAAAACAGTGTTAAGGTAGCCACAGATGAGAACCAGGCCAAAGCTCTCCTCTAAAGATAAGAAACCATATTTAACAGTAGTCAACTTTTTTTTTTTAAACTAGGGTGAGACAGGAAAAGAAAAATCTTTTTTTTTTTTTTTTTTTAAAGATTTTATTTATTTGCCAGACAGAGATCACAAGTAGGCGGAGAGGCAGGCAGAGAGAGAGGAGGAAGCAGGTTCCCCGCTGAGCAGACAGCCCATGTGGGGCTCGATCCCAGGACCCTGGGATCATGACCTGAGCCAAAGGCAGAGGCTTAACCCACTGAGCCACCCAGGTGCCCCAGGAAAAGAAAAATCTTAACGTGGACCACAGACATCCTATGCTTCTCTCCACTCCTCCTTTCTCTTTAAGATACAAAAATACTACTTCAAAAAGGGAGATGGTACTTACTATTAAGATACTTCAATAGGGGAGGGGCACCTGGGTGGCTCAGATGGTTAAGCATCTACCTTTGGCCCAGGTCATGATCTCAGGGTCCTGGGATTGAGCCCCGTATTGGGTGCCCCGCTCAGTGCGAAGCCTGCTTCCCCCCTCTCTCCCTGCCTGCCTCTGCCTAATTGTGATATCTCTCTCTCTCTCAAGTTAATAAATAAAATCTTAAAAAAAGAAAAATAAAGTTTATTTTAAAAAAAGATACTTCAATAGGGGAGATACACACATATACAAATATGGACTTGGAATGACATTTTTATCCCAAATACAAGCTATAAAGTAAACTTAGTATATCGGTCATATTTTGAAGTCTTTAGCAATTAGTCAGTACAATTTAAAAAACCATCCAGACACAGGAAAGATCAGTGCCCTAAACACTGGTCTCCAGGAAAAACTATATTAAAATTAAAAGGTGAACTTCTAGAACTTTAGAAATGTTTTAAGACAGATGTAATTAATCAGGAAATGATGAAGAACTTGGAGGAAATGATGAAGAACCAGGATCTGACAGAGCAAATTACAGTTCCATAATAATGAAATATAAAAGTGAACAAGGAAAGAGACAAATATAAAAAATTCCCAGTTCCTGATTCTGGTTTGACGTTATTTTTAGAAAAGTCTGATTGGTAAATAGCAAAAGAAGGAGGTCCTAACTTCAAAACCCATTTTACAGTAGGAGAATATGAGCCTGAGGTCACAATATCAGATGTTAAAAAATAAAAAATCTCCCCAGTGACATATCTGCAGTCAATTAAATAGAGAACTGTGGCAAACTACGCATGTGGGAAAGGGGCTGTGCTCATTTCACTACTGCCAGTGGCTAGCGTCAGGCCTGCCAAAAAAGGTTCTGCTTTTGCAGGCACCTTAACCACTGTTTGGTTAACTCAAGATCGAGACAGGTACAGCGTATTGTCTCACATTTAATATATGTATGTTCTGATGACGTCACCCCCACTTGGAGCAATCCTCACAACTGACCCGGGCAGTGACTCCCGCAGAGCCGTCATCCAAGGCGCGCCCTCCCACTGAGGCCCACAGTTAAGAAAGAGACATTTACTCTTTTTAGTTCACATTTCTGTGACAACAGAAATGCTAAAAAATTGGATTTAAAGCCTCCTTTAAGACTAACAAAGAGAATTGATGAAAACACTACATTTTTTTAAATTGACTAGCTCCTCCTTGTGCTACGGACTTTCTATTTGATTAAAACCACAATGACCGCTAAAGCATATTTCAACTTAGTATCTGAATTAAGGTATTCCTAAGTATTTTGAAAAAGGTGGCCTTATCTATGAAATTTTAAACTTCAGAAATTGAAAGTTCAGAAATAGCAAATATACAATGAACTCAGGACAACTGTGGAAACTGGAAATGGAAGGGGCTTATCAACAGTTCTTGTGCTATCAAGGCAAAGTAAGAATATAGTCATTTGACAGAACAGGGTTTGTTATTTAAAGAGAGCAAAGAGGGGTGCCTGGGTGGCCCAGTTGGTTAGGCATCCGACTCTTGGGTTTTCGGCTCAGGCCACAATCTCAGGGTCATGAGACTGAGCCCTGAGCTGGGTCCCCCACTCAGTGCCGAGTCCATTTAAGAGATTCTTGCTCTCCCCTTCTTCCTCTGCCCCTTCCCCCACTTGTGCTCACGCACTCTCTCTTTCTCTCAGATAAACAGATAAATAAAATCTTTAAAGAGAGCAAAGAAAAGGCCAAATATTTTTTAGTTGGTTTTGCTAACACAGAACTAGAGAGTTCTACAAAGGGTAATTTTAACACTATCATTGGCTTGGCTACATTTGCACTTAATGGACATGAGGTGAAAATATGAACCAATCTGGGATGAAAATGACACAGTCTCACAGTCGGCTGATGACCCATCCACACTATGCGCAAAGGAGTTACCTGCAGTAATTGAGAACAATGGATGGAGAGTTCTCAAATTACTGTTGGACAAATCTTTTCCCTTCTTAGTCTGTCCTCTAAACGTTTAGACCCTAGCGTTTTGGGCTCCAAAAATGGGCCATCAACATGATAGACCATCTCTAAAGCAAACAATCCGTCCACAGATAACTAAGTTGATGTGACTGACACATACTCCAATCAATGTACTGCTCATGGACACTACATGCCAAGCATGCTTCAGAGTAATTTCTGAAATTTGAAGAATGAGGGAACATAACTGAGACTTCCCTAGCAATAGCAAAACATGCTAATGTGTAGTAAAGAGAACTCCAATTAGCTTACCTCCTGCAGTAGATCAGCCTGCTCAATTGCTTTAAGGACATTTTTCTTGGATGTTTCCTGAACTTCCCCTCCCAAAAGAAACTCATCCAAAATAAAATAAGCCTTCTCAAAATTAAAGATGATATCAAGTTCACATACCTGAGAAGCAAGAAAAACAATGTTAAAATTGAAGAAAGCAAAACATACTTACCCACCATCAAGTAGTGAATAAAAAGGTGGTCAGTGAATCGATCTTAATTCTTTCTAAAAATGGCAATCTTGCCAATAATTAAGTATCACTGATTTAGTCAGTTTAATTTTCAAATCTCAAGTACTTGGAAACACAAGGCCTACAAACTAAATAAGACCTGATTCTGGAAGTTCTCAACATGGGCAACTGAGTAATTCTCTGCTCATAAACAATGACCTTTTTAAATACATACTTCCTGTACAATGTGATTATAACTGCTTACCAAATCTAAATTCTATACTAAGCACTTCCAGAACATTAATCTTTGCAGTTGAACTCCTTTCTGTTTCACTATTTTAAACCTCATTCTCACAACCATCATTAAATGAGCAGGGCTGTGGGGTCACGCATTGCAGCAGTTAACCGATTGGGCCGGCTGGCAAAAGAGAGTCAGCCCTTCCCCACCTCTGCAGTTACTTTCAAACAGAATTCCTAAGACAATCAAACAATAAACTTGTTACAGAGAAGATTTTTAAAAAATACTATGGCATTCAATTTCCTAAAACAAAATACTACTCACACTGCCAAAGTACTTGTCAAGTAATTCCACGTAACGATGAATTATTTCCAGGGTAATTAGCTCATTGTCCTGATCCTCGATAGCACAGCAAAAATACAGACTAGCATATCTGTAACAAAGCAAATGTGGAAGAAATTTTACCCTATAACCTAAATATGTTCTCATATCCTATTGTGAAAGATCCCATACTTACACAATTTACTTCCCCCTTCACAACAGTATAGATTTTTCTCCTGCACTACAAAAGGAATGAATGCATGTAGAGAAAGTTTGCAAAGTACAGGCAAGCAAAAAACCAAAAAACAATCACTCAATCATACCATCTAGAAATGTAGAAAGATGAACTCGTTTTGCTCTTCTTTAGGCTGCCTTCTATGAATATCTAAAACATAGCTGGACCCAGTTATGAAATACAATGAATGAAATGGTCCTAAATTGTATGAAATATAATCTTATGTTTACCTAATTAAAACAAAATGCGCTGTGTGATTAATTCAAACGTCAAGTAAACAGGGAAGACGATAAACTCTCCGACTGAAGGACTTATTGAAGATATTGTCAATGTGAAGGCAATGACTGAAACGTTTTGTTGAAGCATTAATATACACAACAGAGAAGAACACAAGTCCTATGTACAGCCTGAGGAGATCTCAAAGTGAACCCACCCCGTGTACCAGCACCCTGATCAAGAAACAAATTACGGAACTCCTAAATCCCCTCTCCTAACCCCTCTAGGTCACAATCTGCCACCCCCCAAGGGTAACTACTATCTTGACTCCCAACGGCATAGAATTGTTTTTAAAGATTTCTAGGACTGTGGAATAAACTCCAAGAAAAGAACAGTTCTAAGTTATTACAGAAGTCAGAGAAAGAGAACAGGGGAAACTGAGACCTGTTCTCAAATTTTCCAAGTTGTACCTGTTAAATGAAAGTTTGTTATTTACCCCTTGAATATTAACATTGGAAAACTCATATTCTCTTCCAAATTAGGATTCTAGCACATGAGGCTACATTATACTTGACCCAAAAAAGCCAAACTTAACATACAACCCTGAGGCATAACAAACAATGACCAAGTCTTTTGAGGAGGATTAAAAGAGCATTTTACAAATGGTTTAAGTGTATTACAGGCTTTTGGAAAAAAACACAAGCAGAAAACCCAAAACATTTTAAACAAGTCTCAGTTTCGATTGTAATTTTTGCCAAGGAGCATCTTGGTGAATTTTAGGAAACACAATGAGCAGTTACTGCTCATAGCATTAATGGAAAATCACACGTACATATAAACTTGGTTTTGGAATTCAATGAATTCCTACTCTTCAATAGGAGAGTAACTGGTATTTACAGAATGCTCTATTCACATTATCAACTTGACCAAATAAAGATCAATTATTTGATCTTTCCAACAGCAAGCACCATCATTCTTGACTGGCGGGGAAGGAAAAAAAAAAAAATGAGGCCCGAGTCCAGACCTGCCACGTGGTCATTCTGGGACCATTCAGGTCATGATCCCAGAGCCTGGGATCGAGTCAGACCTTTCCCCACTCCACTGCAAGGACGCCCTCTTCACACACAGCTTGCCTTTTTTTGCCATGTCCACTCTACCTGATTAATATGTTATTTAAAATGGCAGGTCTCCTGCGATCTTGAAGAGGAGGCTTTCGAATGTGTCCATTTATTAGCATGAAGGACCCAAGAGGGTACCACCTCCAACTTTAACAAAGTGCTTCCTCTCTTTCCTACCCTATGGTTTCGTGTTATCTGTTTAAAACGCAAAGGGGGGGGCGCGCCTGGGAGGCTCCGTCAGTTAAGTGTCCGACTTTTGATTCTGGCTCAGGTTGTGTTCTCAGGGTCTCGAGATTGAGCCCTGTGTCAGGCTCTGCAATGAGCATGGAATCTCCTTGGGATTCTCTCTATCACTCTCCCTCTGTCACCACCCACTCTAGCCCTGCTCATGCGCACTCACGCTCTCTCTAAAAACATGAAATTAGGGGTGCCTGGGTGGCTTAGTCTGTTAAGTATCTGCCTTCGGCTCAGGTCATGATCCCAGGGTTCTGGGATTGAGTCCCACATCGGGCTCCTTGCTCGGCGGAGAGCCTGCTTCTCCCTCTGCTTGCAGCTCCCAGTGCTTGTGCGTGCTCTCTGACAAAAAAAATCTTTAAAAAAAATAAAAAATAAAAATTAAATTAAAATAATAAAAAGAAAGGCAATTCCAACTCTCCATCCTCTTCAACCCATACTCACCAAATAGTTTTGAATTTGAGGAAACTGATACAAATGACACGTTACAAGTCTCCAAATCAAGAAAACTAAAGATTAAAGGAATTCACATTAAAAATGGTAGGTAAAAAAGAGACATGACTAGCTGACACGAAGAGAATGCTATTTAAATAATCCCATTAGAAGGAATTTATTAATAGTTTTGGGTAAAATTCCTTTTATTCTTAATGTCAGCACTCCTACAATGCTACTGTTAAGCAATCTAATGTTTATACCATCCTCGCTCCTACCCACAGTACTGCCTCTTGACTTACAAATAAACAGCACTTGTCAATGGTCCTTAATTGTGTGAATCATTTAGAAATATTAATTTACATATCACCAGGACTGATGTGTCCAAGCATCAACCAATATTTTTAAAATCCTGCAGTACAGGGGCACCTGGGTGTTTTAGTCAGTTAAGTGTCTGCCTTTAGCTCAGGTCATGATCCCAGAGCCTGGGATCGAGTCTCACATCTGCTTCTCCCTCTCCCTCTGCTGCTCCCCATGCTTGTTCTCTCTCTCAAATAAATAAGATATTAAAAAAAATCCTGCAATACCAAGTAAATAAATAAATACATACATACATACATACATACATACATACAAAAGTCCTGCAATACTACCTTAATGCTTGCTTTCACTCAGAATGGAAAAAGAGCCATCAGTTAGACAAATTCTTTGTTGTAGGTGATTATCTAGTTATCAGGGTTATAATGCCCCTCTCTACAGAAAGCTTATGGAAGAAAGAAACAGAATAGTTAACAGGTAACATTCACGGAGTCCTCTGAGTGAGACACTAAATGTTAGCAAAGGCTTCTGCATATTTTGCCATTTTAATCCTCACAACAACTCTTCAAGAAAGATACTGTTATTAACTTGCATTTATAGGAGACCCAAGCTTAACCGAGTAACCTCCCCAGGAACAGTAATTTGACTCCAAAGCCCCTGTTAAGGGTTTATATTAAAAACTATAGCCAGGAACTGTATTAAATAAAGTAATCCTGCACCTGGCAAAAATTAAAACTGAATAAGCAATATTTAAGAGCTTTGAAGAGGGAGAGAAAAATTGTTATACTGATTTAGTAAAAGATTACCAAGAGAACCTGAAGCATACTCCTTATTTTTAGAAGCAAATGCTTTTTAAAAATTCAATTATGAGCTCATTTTGTTCTCTTAGTACCTATTTGTAAGTCTAAACCTGAAGTAAAATTAATAATAGACTAGTAAGAAGAAAGGTATGTTTGGTTATTTTTAGCAGAATGGATTAAGGCTTACTCTAATTACTGGCACTCACAGACCATCTGAAAGTGCCTATTCTTACATTCAAAACACATGACTTCTCCACAGTCAGCTAAGTGGCAGCTGACCGCGTGAATGTGACTAAACTATTCTCAATACCCACCGGTATGTCATTAAAAATTCTTTTGTTGGTCAAGAAAATACAGTACTGTGGCAAAGTCTTAAACTAGTAAGATACATGTATGTTTAAATTCACTGTATAACTCAATCTAGTGCCTCTTCCATAACATGCTGCATAAAATAGGAATCAAAAAAGCATACAGTGTTAGGTCTTTCAGGGATTTTCAAGAGCATTTATTTCAGAGGTGAGGACACACACACACAATGACTTGTTCAAAGTCACAAAACTAGCTAAGGGTGCAAACCAAACAGAACTCAAGTCCCCAGATTTTCAGTCTGTTTTTTCAGCTATATTCTCCCTACGGACCCCTACCCCGCCCCCCACCCTTCCCAAGACGGGGAGCTATGCGAAACGCTCAGCAAGAAGAATGCGGCCGAGACAAGTGGAAGAAGGCAGGCAGGCCTAAAGACCACTTGCTGACAGAACAGCGACAGTGCTGGTTCAGAATTTCTCAGAAGTGAGACTCCTTTTGCTTAAAAGGTCTTCTCTTCCAGCTGGACTAGGGGGAAAAAAAAAATCACTCGTTTATGTCAACAAAGAATATGTTCTTAAATACGATAAATGAGGTTTTCAGTATGAAATGGGGGCAGAGGCATAGAAAAACTGATTAAAAATTCTAAGTTTTATATGTGAATCTTATCTCAATAAAGCTGTTTTTTTTTAAGTACACCTTTTACTTACAGGAGCTTCATAAAAGTATCAGACTCAGGTGAGAGTACCCTTTACAGCCTTTATTTAAAAGGAAAAGTGGGGACGCCTGGGTGGCTCAGTTGCTTGGACGACTGCCTTCGGCTCAGGTCATGATCCTGGGAGTCCCAGGATCGAGTCCCGCATCGGGCTCCCAGCTCCATGGGGAGTCTGCTTCTCTCTCTTGACCTTCTCCTCGCTCATGCTCTCTCTCACTGTCTCTCTCTCAAATAAATAAATAAAATCTTAAAAAAAAAATAAATAAAAAATAAAAGGAAAAGTGGTAGGCCAGCGCGGGCGGGCTAAGTGCTGCGTGCGGAACACCAGCCAGTGCTTGCCTTCCTCCGGTCGGAACAGGCCCTTGCCTTCAGCGGCAGGAAACTTGATTCCTGGGATTGATTCCCTTGCTGGTATTTTCCTCCTCCACACGGGGGACTCCTTCCCCTATCTAGAAATAAGCTGAAGTCTCTCACACCTTTTTAAAAACTCTGTCCCTCACTCCTGTGTCTATGGGCGGTTACCACCTCTTCGCATCTGACGAAGCTCCCGAAATAGTCTACATTTGCTGTTTAAAAGCCTCCACCTCTTCACACTTTGCCCCATTTCTTCGAGAGTTTCTACTATTTCACTGAAAATGTTCCTCCGACAAATGGCATTTTTGGAACTCTCACCGTAAAACCTAATAGATTCTTCCTTCACTTTTATTGTTTTTGCAATATTTGGCCCTGGTAACTTAATTTTCAAAACTCACTCCCACTTCCTGACATTACTGACCCTATACTTAGTCTCTCCCCCTTTGCTTGCCCCTTGAATGTTGGTGGTTTACCACTTTATGCCTAATTTCCGCCCTGACTTCCAAGCCCACTCGGAGAAAAGCAAGCATCTCAAAGTCAACCTGTCTGCTACCTCACGTTTACCGTCAGCTGAAACAGAAGTGTGGAATCCCTGCCCTCCTGGCTTCGGGCAGAAAAACCCCCAAAAAACAAAAACAAAAAACCTTACCTTGTAGGAACAGCTCATTCCACCTGCTGAGCCCATAGCAGAGGTCTTCCTTCAGGGCCTCATTGTAATGCAGTTTCCTAAGAGATCGCTCAGGTGCCAGCCTCAGCCCTCCCCCCTACTCATTCTCCAATTACAAGGATCCTTTCAAAAAGGCATGATCTGCTCTTTTCTCATCCCTGTTTTAAAACCTTTGCCTCCACACTTCAGAACTGAGTTCTAGCCCCCTTGTCAGTCACTAACTGGAATATGACCTTGGACAAGTCACTTCTCCCAAATTCTTCCTTTCATAAAATTGAAATTTAATCAACAGTAGTGGTTTTAGGGGCGCCTGGGTGGCTCAGTCATTAAGCGTCTGCCTTTCACCTCAGGTCATGATCCCGGACCTCTGGGATCCAGCCCCGCATCAGGCTCCCTGCTCGGCAGGAAGCCTGTTTCTCCCTCTCCCACTCCCACTAGTGTTCCCTCTCTCGCTGTGTCTCTGTCACACGAATAAAATAAAATGATTCAAATCTTTAAAAACAACAACAAAAGAACCAGTAGTGGTTTTAAAGGTCATGAACCATCTCTGATGCAGAGGGCACAAGCCAAGTGAGCAGAGGTATGAGATCCCGGTTCTGTTTCCATGAGAGCACCTCCACTTCCACTTGATTCATCGAAGGTTCTAACCTCTGGGCAAAAAGCTTTTTATTTTTTTTTTTTAAGATTTTTATTTATTTATTTGACAGACAGAAATCACAAGTAGGCAGAGAGAGAGATTGGAGGAAGCAGGCTCCCTGCTGAGCAGAGAGCCCGATGCGGGCTCGATCCCAGGACCCTGGGATCATGACCTGAGCCGAAGGCAGAGGCTTTAACCCACTGAGCCCCCCAGGCGCCCCGCAAAAAGCTTTTTAAAAACAATCACCTGATTACATTATTCTAAGACTTCTCCCAGCTCTAAAATGCTATGAGTTTTCTCAACAAGTACTAAACCAAAATCACCCAAAGATAACTAAATTTATTCTATTGCAAAGAGTTCTATGGTATTTAAAACATTCTCTATGTCCTATAATCTCCCATCACCTCCTCTGCCATCTACCCACCCCCCACATACACGCAAAACCCATCCACACCTAGAATAAAGGAACAGAGATAAAAACCCAGACTTCTCTTCAACGCCCCCCCCCTTGCAGCCCATACTGTTAGTTCCCTGAACTTCCCCTATAGAAGACAATTTCTTATATGCAGAGACACTCTTCTTAAATACAGTAAATTATTTGTAAGGGAGGGAAAATGGAGAAGAAACAAAGTAATTAATTTCTTTTAACTCCTGATTAGCCCAATCTTGAGAAATGTTATTTTAGGGTATTAAAAGACTTTTAGATATTAATAAAGATGTACATTTTTAAAAAATTTAGTGTCCAAAGCCAATGTGTGAGTCATTTTTCAACATCAAAAATTTAAAAATCTATTCTTCACAAAATTATCAGATCTAATTATACCTCCATGACAGCAACAAGTGTACTTCAAATTAATAAATGCTAGTAACAAAGAAATCTTATATAGAGAGTTTCAAAACCTCTATATGACTAAATGATCTATGCATCCAAGGTGTTCAAAAGTGAGATTCTAGAAGTCAGAAAAAAGGCATATCAATTATCAGTCATTACTGTATAGATTTTTAAGCAAGGTTTGTCAAAATTCAGAGAATTACACCATTTAAAATATGACCCCATTTTCACCTGCAAAGAAATTCATTTAATTTTTCTAAAAAGATGATTAAGTAGAAATAATCATTTATGCCTTTAATTACATAATTAGTTTTAAATCGACTTTTCTGATTTTATTTTTTTGACTGGACAATCAATCAAAACACCAGTTATTTAAAAGACACAAAGCTTTAACTTAAACCTTTTTCATCTAAATCATTAATCATTACTTGTAAATGTCATCTCTCAAAAGTCTGCCATTGCCACATTATAAATGACTGAACATTTAATCCAATTTTGCCTTTCCGATAAATGAAAATTATACCTTTTGTAAACAATCTTCAGATCTCGCCACTCAAGAAAGCTGCACATTTTAGGTTTCCGTGCTAAAACGGTTTGAACAAGTTCTCTTGTAATCTTTTTCTTCTCTTTGTCTGATAGTGGGACATACCATTTCTGCAGTCGAAGCTTTCCCTGACGACTAAAAAGCAACATAAACTGCATCTGTTAAGATAAATAGAGCCAAGATTACATGCAACACTTTGATTCCGTAAAGATTAAGATGACATGGTTCCTAGAGAAGCTTAGGGGGCAGGGCCTTTGACAAATGATTAGTAGCCATCAGTATTTCTACGCCAGTTAAAACAGCAGGAAAATGCTTGTAGAAAGATCTTCCCACCAGGGGCAAATCTCCCCACCCCACCCCGTGCCATATAAGTTCGGAGAGTAGTGTGTGGGAAAAAAATAATAATCATAATTAAAAAAATAAAAAACAGGTAAAAAGCTGAAGTGAAATTTTTGAGGAAAAAGAAAGATAACTCTTGCAATTTAAGACAACTACTGTCTACCTGTGCTGTACATTTCACACTCTCTGTATGCTTCAAAAGAGAACTGTTGACATCAACTGGTTTAGATACATTTGAAAGGAACAGCAGATCTACAAACTATTTCTCATCCTGAGGCTGTTCCAGTCCCCAGCTGAATTACTTGTATTCAGACTGCTATCACTCAGAATGCCCTCTTCAGTTTACGCTCACACATTTTAAGCAAAACAAAACATCTAAAATATTCAACAAAAAACCCCATAAATGCGCATTTTTCTTAATAAAAGGCTGACTTTTAAGTGTCTCTTCTCATCTTTGCTTTCTAAAAATTCCAACATAAATATACACACAATAGAGAAGTAGGTTAATGTAACAATATGAAAGAGAATCCTTTAAAAAGCCAAAATTTAGGGGCGCCTGGGTGGCTCAGTGGGTTAAGCCGCTGCCTTCGGCTCGGGTCATGATCTCAGAGTCCTGGGATCGAGCCCCGCATCGGGCTCTCTGCTCTCTAGGGGAGCCTGCTTCTTCCTCTCTCTCTGCCTGCCTCTCTGCCTGCTTGTGATCTCTCTGTCAAATAAATAAGTAAATAAATAAAAATCTTTAAAATAAAAAAAAAAAGCCAAAATTTAGAGACACACATGCAGAGACATTACGCAAAATACCTCATTTAAAACAATTTTTAAAACAAGCGTCTACAGATGGAGTGGATGCTGAATTCTACTGTATCTTAAACTATTTTGTATATGTGTATTTGGAACCTCAAATCTGTTGATTAGTTTACATGTTTAATTTTAAAGGAAAGCTTCCTGTAATCCAACTGCTCTTCCCAACTGCAAACATTAAGCATTGTTCCTACAAAAGTAATTTAAAGGTAGAATTCAGACAGGTTTTTCCCCCCCTCCTCCTAACTGTTGTTAAGTTCCTTCAACGGTGTTACTACAAGTAAGACTGCAGCCCGATTCTTTTTTTTTTTTTTTAAGATTTATTTATTTATTTGACAGAAATCACAAGGAGGCAGAGAGGCAGGCAGAGAGAGAGGAGGAAGCAGGCTCCCCGCTGAGCAAAGAGCCCGATGTGGGGCTCGATCCCAGGACCCTGGGATCATGACCTGAGCCGAATGCAGAGGCTTTAATCCACTGAGCCACCCAGGCGCCCCTGCAGCCCGATTCTTAATATGCACCACACCACCTTAAATCTGAATATGGGGTAGGGGAATCTACACGGCCAATTTAGAATAAAAATGGGCTCCAAATTTCGCTAAGAAATTACTGTCGCTTTTTGTGTTAATCCAAACGGGCATCGACAAGGTATTTAGAAATTTATGATGTGGCCATTTAACTTTATTAAAGTTAAAATTGGCTTATTACGCCTCACTTAAAACCTTCACTGGCACAAAATAAGCGAACGATATTTTTGATGTCAAAGTGCCTCCCATACAAGTCCTGTTAAGACAGCGGCATTCGGAGGGGAACAGCAACTAAAGCATCAACTGGACGTTTAATGCAAACCCGTTACCAGAACTTTGAGAATAACAGACCCCTATTCCAGGACCCCGACGACCTGGAGGAGTGGCGGTTTGCTTTCTGAAAGAGTATGCGCTCTCGGCTGTCTATATCCCCTCCCTACCACTTTATAGAATAAATAATTTACTCTTTAAAATAAATTATGTGCTAACATGGGACGATACCCGGTTGCGAGGCACAAGTATTCCTTTCCTCTGGTTAAAAACTAACGCTTTGATTTTGCCGCAAATCACAGGGCACCTCAATTCCTCGAGATTGGTTATTAAAAACAATAGGCTCAGCTGCGGAGCCGGCTCAGGGCCAGCGTTCCTCGGTCCGGCCGTCTCCAACGCCTCCCCGCCGCCCCATGGGGCCGCAGTCCATCACTGACCGAGCCCGGGCGAGGTGACAGGCTAGGCGCGGGGCAGACAATGGCATTCGCCGCCACGCAGGGGGCGCCAAGGGTCCTCCGCCGCCACCGCCCCCAGCCGCGGGCCCCTCCCGAAAATGCCCCGCAAAACTTGAGGTGATTCCCAAACCACAGGTGCCGCGGGGCCCCCCACATTCCCGGGGCGCGGTGCGGAGTGGAGAACCGCGCGGACGCGGAGAGAAGTGAGATGCGGGGCGCGGCGAACCCCTGGCTGGCTGGGGCGGCCAGGCGCGGGGTGGGGTCGTCGGGGCGCCCGCGGGGCGGCGGAGGGCGCGCCCAAACCGTCCTCCCGGCTCCCTGTCCCCCACGTCCCCGCTCGCCCCCTGGGACTTACGGCGGCCGCGGGCCGCGGGCGTGGCTGAGCTCGGCCGGCGGCGGCGGCGGCTGTGGCGGCTGCGGCTGAGGGGAAGCCCCTGTCGCCAGGCTGAGGAAGAGAAGCCGTGTTGCTGTGGGGAGGGGACCCAGTTAGCGGAGGGAAGGCTTAGGCAGCGAGGGGAGGGCGAGCCGGCAGACCCCGCCCCGTGGGCCGGACGAAGGAGGAGCCGGGGTTGCGGCGAGAGGAGGGGCGGGCTGGGCGACGCGCGGGAAGCAGCTCGGCCTTCGCCAACGGCACCGGAGGCAGCGCCGGAGACCGCACAATCTAAGAAAGCCGATTGGCCGCGTCTCTACCGAGAGGGGTGGTCTGGGCCGGAAGTCAGGCCACGTGATCCGGAAGCGGCTGCTGCCAAGGCCGGCGCGCCTGCGTGCTCCTGCTTGTGCATTTCGAACTCGGGCAGGCGGCTTCCCCGGCTACCCGGTGGTAGGAGGACGGGGTTCTGCGGTGCCCTTTGTCGACCCCGCCGTGCGGGGCAGGGAAGGTCAGGATTGCGAAGAGCCAAGTTCAAGCTCCGATAACTCTCCGAGCCCAAAGAGGGTGGGGCGGGGAGGCGTGACTGCCCGTGATGCTGGTGAGGGGAGAGAGGGAGTGCTGCACCTCTGGGGAAAACAAGTCAGCTCTGTCGTGGAGCTAGTGCACGCGTTCAGAGGGCCTTTTGCAGTTATTCTGCTTCCAACCCGCCTGGAATCCAGCCGGTCCGACCTATCGCACTGCTACAGCCCTAGACACTTTTTGCCCCAGGCTGTGCAAGTGTCTCTTCCCTGGGCTTACCTCGCCTATTCTCAGTGCTGCGGACCTAATGAATTAAGGTCCGTCCTCTGCTGAGAAGCCCAGACAGCATCTCGTGTTTGAGATCCCACTTCCTTCACACTGAGTCGCGTTCCCCGCCGCTCCGCCCCAAAGCCGCCTAGGTTCCAGTTAGCCTTGCGGAAGACTTGCTCTGCCTGGCGTGTACTTCCTCTCAAATGTTAATCTATGAAGCCTCACCCTCAAACCCTGTAAGAACGAATCCCTCTTTCACCCACATGTTCATTAGCCTCTGCTTAGCACATCTTGGATTTTACTCATTTTTGCATCCCCACGTGTCCATTTGCCTTTATTTAGCACGTCTTGAATTTTTTTCATTTTTCGTCCCAACCTAGTTCACTGCCTGGTAGATAACACATCTAATAAGTGGGAGTTGACTGATGAGGACTATAAAATGATAGATTTGTTAAGAACCGTAGTGCTGAGCATTATACTTGGCACATAATGGATGTCCATATTTTTTTGAATGAAAAGGACGGATGAATCATCTAGTCCGACTCATCTTTTACAGATGAGCAAAGGGGAGCCCCATGGGATTAAGTGACCTTGCTTGAACAGCCACTGGTTTCTCATGTTGAATGGTATTCATTACCCCAGTCACTTAGGTTCTTACAAAGGAAGCTGGAAAATTGCTTTTATTATGCTATGCCCTTTTTGCAGAGGTTCCCAAACATACTCGCCAGAATTTTTTAATGACCTAAAGTGAAAAAGAAATGCTACGTTTTTCACGAAGCTAAATTTAATCAATTTAAAGGAATCCTTTATTAGGGATTGTTCTTTTTTGTGTGTGTGTGTGGTAAAAGGTCTATAAAACTATGATAGTATATAACAGGGATTTGAAGGCATTTTTATTGCCCTGATTTGGCAAAGTAAAAATGTATAATACCTCCCTCTTTTTAAGCACTACTATACTGCTAGGAAAATTTCCTACAAATATGTAGGATAATGTATACTGGAACACAAGTGGCCGACACAAAGCACAGAACTGGCATTCTGTGGTCTTTAGGCCCCCTGCCAAGATTTCTCTCTGCTTCCTAACCAGTCGTGCTCCAAAGTCACATATTAATGCCCCATTTCTCCCGTACTACACAAAACAGATGCCATTAACCAGTTCAAAGATAGATTGAATACTATGCAGTGAAAACGTGCACTCTGAATCCAAGGGCTGTTTTTCTCTTTTTCTGTACAAAGCACATATATCCTCAACGTTCTTAGGCTAACCACCTCCAAGTTTAAAGCCATTGGTTATGCTCCTAATGTTGGTCTGTGGTTCTGAAAATGAAGACGGCAGACTTGCTGATGACATATTGGCAGTCTCTGGTGATCCTAGCCAAGAAAAGGAGCGGGTGAAGGGTAGAGAGGGAAAGGAATTATGGGAAAAATAATTAGCAGCTGAAAGCAGCTATTACATAATCTTGGCTGCTTATTAATTTAGAAGAAGGAATGGCTTATTAAATTCTAATAGCAGCAGCACAACTGCAAACAACCTAGCAATTAACAATGCAGGGCCCATTATTTTGTTAATATGTTCTCTTTTTTGGCAAGTGTATAAGAACAAATTTTATAGAAGCAGATGGTCTTTTTCAGTAGATTATAGATGGTTTTTCCCCGGTCTTAGTATCAAGTGCTAATTGTGCATTCACCGTGAAAGACAAAAGAAGCACTGTTAGTAATTAACTGCTTGACTTTGATTCCACATTTTCCAAATTGTGGGCTTTCTTATGTACATATTTCTTCTCACCCAGTATCTTCTTCATCTGTCATGTTAATAGGGTATCTTTCTTTATCCTCTGCTTTTGTTATGTGGGTGGTCCTGATTTCTTGGTTGTTAATATTGATACGAAAATAATTTCTCATGAGAAATTAAAAATCAGATTTTATACTTTTTTTTTTTTTTTTTCTGGTACAGGAGGCATTTATTACAACATCATTTCTCATGGAACAAGAAGGAACGTGGACTTTCATGGTGCAAGCCTTCCTGATGTTTCCCGGGTTTCAATGGCCCAGGCAGATAAAGGAAACTCAGCAAGGTCAGAAGAAAGAAGAACAGATCTGTCCTTAAGTGGGAAAAATAACCGTGTCCCAAGTATACAGAAGGGGAACAAATGAAGTATTTCTGGTAAACTACTTTTTATTTCTTTTTTATTGAGATATAATTGACATTATATTAGCTTAAGGTGTACAACATAATTTGATATTTATATGCATTTGTGAAATGATCACCACAATAATTCTAGTTAATATCGCTGGTTTCTTTAAAAAAAAAAAAAGTGCTTAGCTTTCATTTATGCTAAATGCAAGAGTTGAGGGCCTTCTAACAATAAAATTTTGAGACTTTTAATGTAATCTTTTAAAAGTTCAAAAATAGCTTTAGTTTTAGTTTCCTGTTAAATGTGTGTTGGCCATATGCTTTTATCTACTCTCCCTCACAAAATGCCATTAAACGGAAAAAAAAAAGGAGGAATGTTTGAAATATATACTCACATGGGCAATAAGACAGGGGACATTAGCATGAGGATGTCATCAAGGATGTCTCGGTGCACTGTTGGCTCATTGTGATTTAGGTAAAAATTGTAATATATTTATATTGGGAATACAGAGGAGCAGAAGTGAGGGGATGTTGAAATCATGCTAAATCCTCAGGCCCTGGCAATAAGAAAATAGATAACATCTAACATAAACCAAAAAAATAGTATTATTAGTGTATTCTTTAGATACCAGGAAGTAAATTCCAGAAGCCATGATGACTTTCTTTCCAGGGACAGAATCTTGAGGTAGGATGCATTAAAGGTTATTATTACATTTTATTTTAGTGCAAGTTTTCCTTAGACCATTTTTAAAAATATTGTAATGAAGTAGATAAAAATTCTTCTGTTAGTGTCAACACTATATTATGGACTTGTACAGCATTCCTTTAGCCTGTCTATGTGTTACTTAGAAATTATTAAATAAAGATGCCTTTGTAATGGAATTCAGCACTGAATCAATGTAGAAGAGCACAGTAAGTGTAAAAAAGATGCTTAGAGTTTTGGATTTGCATCTCCAATGATAAACTTGTTCCAAGGAGAGAACTGGCCCCAAATAATGAGGATTTGTGAATGAGTCATTTCAAATAGATAGAGTTGTCACTGCCAAAGTCCCCAACAACAGGCCAAAGATAAATGTGGGACATCCACTTTTCCCTGAAGACTGTTTCCAGAGCTTTGAATAAAATGCGGGAAAATGACTCTTTTTTTAATATTAGGCCAAGGCAGTGGTAATTTTATCCACCACCCCTTCCTCCTGACCCCAGAGGACACCTGGCAGTGTCTGGAGACATTGTGGTTGTCATATCGGCACCCAGGTATGGGGCAGGTGGGGGTGCTGCTGCTACAGTGCACAGGACACTCCCCTAGGACAGTGATCCAGCCTCAGATGTCAACAGCACTGAGGCTGAGAGGCTCCAAGTTAGTCATTGAAAAGGTTAGTGTGCAGGAACCGAGCGCTTTTATAGGTATTTCAAGAAATGGAACACGCACTATCTGTACCTAAGTTTTGCTTGTGGTTTTTTTTTTTTTTTTTCCTTTCTTAGAGGGGTTGGAGGCCTTCTTAAATATCTGAGAGCTAAAATTCTTAACTGCTGAAAAGACTGGCCGCCTACATTAGGCAGTCAGTATTCTTTAATGGTAGCTAGAATAAACTCTTGAAATGGGATTTTTTTTCCTAAGTGACCCCAGAATATTCGTGGAAATTATTTAGAACCTGAATCCATGAGGTGACTGTTCCATCCCTTCATTCATTTAACATAGATGTTTATTATGCTGGTTTATTATGTTTCTTATGGTTTACTCTGCTGGCCACTCTGGAAGGTAATGGGGATACAAAGATGAGTAACATGTTGGCTCTTTCCTAAAGCTCTAAAACCATTTCTCCTGACACAGAATTTCATGTCTTTTGGAGACCAATTCTGGGTGGTTAGAACAGCAGTCATCAATCAAACATAAGAACACATTTTCTTTTGGATAGCCCCTAAAGATGCTTCTTAGAACCTTGGATTTCCATGACGGACACCTTTGGAAACTGTTTGCCCTAATGACCTCCCGGGGCTCCCAGGGATCTTTTCATTCTGTGAGTTTTCCATAGCACTCTGAATTCACAGCAGCATAAGAAAGTCGAGGTGTTTTCAACAAAACGATTCCAGATAATA